TTCAACCTGACACTAAATCAAACAAACAAATGCCCTAATTCTTGTCCACAGGCATCTTAAAGCGACACAAAGGACAAATATGATTTTTCTCAAGCCATTGAACGATACAACCCCCATGAAAAAGGTGCTTGCATGGCATGCGAGTAACTTCAACAACACCCTCTAAAATCAACGTATCAAGACATATGCTACAATTCTCCTTCATATTTATCATCTTTTCCACCTTCACCTTCTCCAGTGCTTCAATTGCATACGCCGATGCAGGAACGGGCACAAACTCACTCTCTTCCAACGATAAGCCTGCGACCTGTTCTATCAACTCATCCTCATAATAATTTTGGTAAGGATTCGGAATAGCTTGAGGAATACGATGAATTATGTCCAGAACGATTGGGATTCTTCTCGCTCTTTCATGATTTTCTTGGAGGATTGATAATGTCTTAAGATCGATGTCTTGTATCATGTCTAGTTGATACAAGAGAGGAACATGCAAACATGTAAGCATTACATGTATATTATCCCATATATCTAATTTGTCATCTATGTCAAAACAAAACTTTTTGACTGTATGATAGTTGAAATGAGTGCGATTGTAAAACCTCCAACGACCATCAGCTGCGAAATAGAAATTGTGGTGCAATTTTTGGATTCGACATAGGAAGAAAAATTTGTCCTCCGGCAAATTTTCATCCTCGCGGAGGATGTCTTTTTGGTGCTCTACTGTCCAACGATAAGGGTTAATAGTACTATGACTCAATTCTCCTGCCATTGAGAATTAGTAATTAATGGGAAAAGAGCAAAGACGGAATCAGAATTTGAAGTTTATGGATTCAGAATTCTAGTCCTTTTAAGTTAGTTATTAATGAGAAGGATTGGCTTAGTAACTAAAGGGAAAAGAGGCAAACTATGAGACAGAGATTGCTAGCTAGCTATACTTGGTTCTTAGATGAAAGAGTTGTGAAGCTAGACTTTATATATAATCATGGGAAATTTTAAAAACCTAATTACGATTGGAAAGGGAAAAAGAAAAGAAAAGCAATTTCAGTTTCCTAATTTGTGATGCATTAAGGGAAAAAGAAAACAAAAACACATTAATTTTTCTAATTTGTGATGGAATATTTTAAATCTACAGCGGAAGTGGTAAAACATTAAATAAACTTCCATTGTCTAAATTTTAAAACCTAATTACGGTTGGTAAGGGCAAGAGAAAAGGAAAGCACAGCTCTTTTTCCTAATTAGTGATGGATATCTCTATGTGTTCTTAATAAAATTTTGTCGCAAGAGAATCGATTTTTATTTTCTAAATGTCCTTAATTATATTTGAGTAAATAGAGAATATTATTTTTTTCAAATAAGTACAAAGCTATCAAAAATTTATGAACATATAATAATAAACTTCGTTTCAATTTGTGGACAAAAGTTATTAAATTTTCATTTTTCACGCATACTAATAGAAATTTAGTGGAGCTTAATTAAAAGTAATTCCTCTTTTCTTTTTCAGTTGAGTTATATTTTTATTCACGTAAGACTTGGATTAGTTACCATCGCTCTAATAATTAAATATCCAAAGATAAATGCACCAAAATCTAATTAAAGGAGCAAAGAAGGAATTTCAAGATTTTACCTTGATTAATACCAGATAAGTTTGATTAATTTGCTACTCTCAAGCAGTCGAGAATAACTTATTTCACGTTTTTTTTTTAAGAAGCTCAAGGAGTTTTTAGCTCGAATGACCCCTTTAAGTTTAGGAGTTTGTACCAAAACTCTTCTAATGAGCTAGTTTTTGAAATTTCGCGTATATGTATAATGTCCATTTTTCTAACATGCTATCGGACTCATTATTTTTTTATTTATCCGATAATGGGTCCATATATTATAATGTATGTGCTCTAAATACAGATTAATTAGCGGTGTTCTCATTTTACAACCAAACAAAAAACATAGCTATTACACCAGTGTCCAAGCAAGCCAATTAGTTTGTCCAGAGGCGGATCCAAGATTTAAATTTTATGGGTTCAACTTTTAAAAATTTAGGTTTGAACTCATTATATTTTTAAAGTTATGGGTTCATATCTACTATTTTTATAATTTTAGTAAATATTTACATATAAAATTTTACTCCGCGTCAAAAGTTATGAATTCAGTTGAACCCATCGATGCATTGCATCCGCCACTGAGTTTGTCCTGTAGAACCAAATATTACCTTTCAAACAAGACACAAAGTACGAGAAAAAAGAAAAAAGTAAATCAGCAAAAGCAAGAAGTATCTTAAGAAGGCAGCCAACACCAATAGGTAGTCGACCATACGCGAATGCCAGTTGATTCAGAAGTCATGGAGCTCGTGTCACGTTCTCAATGAACTTAATGACATTGTTATCACCTCATTGCATTTCAAGGTCTGAAAAGGATCTATATTAATATTTGTTGGCCCTGTCGGTGAACATTAGCTGCTTTTGCTACTGTAGTTTTGATGTGCTAAGACATGGAAAATACCATTCTCGTCTGGTCCCAAGTTGGGACTCTCATTATATATGTGTATATTAGTTCCAAGTTAAATGTCAAGGGTCTATGTACACAAGGTTACTCTTCCAAAGGTTGTATAATAGATGTTGTAAAACAGCAATTTATTTTCCATCAAGGAAATAGGAGGATAAATTTCAACTTTATAACAATCTCATTCATGTTTCAGGAAAAAAAAAAAAAACTCATATTCCTGAAATTTGTAAAAAGAAGCAATAAATCTCTGGAAGATTTAAGTTGTATACGTTGATAGTATAAACAAAACTTGTTATTTTTAAAAATATAAAAAATATTAACATGCAAAATAAAAGCTAATGTAGAAAAACATGATAAAGTATTACAGTAGAATATACCAAATAGCAATTAAAGAAAAATAGTGAACACTAGAGTAAAGAAAGAAATATAAAGGGGTGAATACAATCTCCAAAACAGATCTATGTACATTCCACCTTTCAAATTTAAATGCTCCAAATGAGAATAATCATTTCGAATATATGAAATTTGAAGGTAAGACCCCATATCCTCCCCCAGTAGGGATCTGTCTAACACTGGTCATACAGATAATTTCCTCACAACAACAAAAAAACGATAAGAACAATTAAAAAACAACAACAAGATCAACAAACCTATTAGTAAGAGATTGTAATTGTAATCGGCTTACATGAAGTAAGATTCGCTACCAAAAACGCTCTCTAGAGAGGCGACTAACAGAAACAGTAAAAACATAGACAAAAATGATCGGTGCTCCATCGTCCGGTGTTGAAAATCCACCGGACCAGACCCAACAATCGCGTAACAACCCTGTGCACAAACCCCATGTAGGCGCACCTATTGAGTCTTCCCCATCTGCTGCAACCGTCAACAATGGCGGAACTGTTAACTTGCCAACAAAATGACTGGAGACAGCTACAACTCACTGCACTGTTCTGAACCAAATCAACTGATTCAAAGCCATGGAGATTGCTCAACACCTCAATTACAATCGATACACATAGTTTCAGACAACATCAATACACGAATCAACGATTCTACACAGGTGAACAACGACAATAATCAGTTGTTGGTCGCGCATGGGATTACAGATATCCAAACTGTTCAAAACCAATGCAACTCTACTCCAATTGATCTGGATACTGATCACAACCCCTCAAACAACAACAACGATGAACAATTTAATCCAACATGGCAGAACACAGTACACACAGAATCGCATATGCCATTTGTTCGACGAAATACCAAGGTCAGTTTTGATGTCAATTTTGATGAATATATGAATGGTTGTGCTTCACAAAGTCATGTTGAGATTAGTCGTCAAGAGAAGTCACAAGAAAATACAACAAATGAGGGTGATCAAAGGCAGTCACCTACAACAACACATGTTGCCTATGGAGTTCCTGGTATTTCAACTGGCCTATCCCCGGTTGAAACTCAATTGGACAAAAACAATTCTCCATATGGTGCTGAAGGTCACCCGTAAGTCCAGTTTCAAACTCCAGATGATATCATTGATGCTCGACCACTGGCGGAAAATTTGAGAGTTCCACTGACTGCCCATGGAGTTCCTGGTGTTTCAACTGCCTTCACAACAGTCGAGAAAATCTCTATTGATAAAGAAAAGGAACCCGCAACAACTCCTACTACTCAAGTGTATCCAATCCCTACAACAATAAATTTGGCATCTTCAGGTAATGTTTCTGCATCACATGTGTCTAATACAACAACTACTAATTTACCTAGGAATGTCAATGTTCAAACTAATCCCCAACTCAATCAAATACCAATGCGGGCAAATTTTTCTAAGATCTCCACTAACTTTGACAAAGCACCTGCTTTCCAGAATAAAAACACAACTAAGACTAAGCACCATCACACCAAAACTCAAATGTTAACACAAAAGAAACTACACAATATACCAAACACCATAGCCAAACAATCAGTACATCTGCTGCAAACATACATCCAAACATTTTAACTAGTTTTCATATACCAAAGCACACACTCTCTTTACAACCATCTGTAAATGTTCACTAAGGTACCCAGCTTTACTCTTCAAAATCAGCAACCACACTAAACCAAACAGAAACCATTGCCCAGCCACCTAAACTAACTAATTATCCTGTCCCATCACCTCCTACCATAACTCATTCAGTTGCTACAAAATTAAGAGCAAGGCATGCAGCAGAAATAGACCCAATAGAGTTCACACCCCCAAAAATAACTACCAAACAGGGCCAACTAGCTGTCATCTTCACTAAGAAGGACTACATGATAACACTTGCATCCAGATGCCAATATACAATTGTAGGAAAATTCCTTAACACAATGCCTCAAATGGAAGTGATAAGGAGAAGCTTCATAGCACAAATAGAACTAAGAGGAGGAGTTAAAATAGCCCATTTCACTGCTCGCACAGTCTACATTGATCTATACAATGAGTACGCCTATATTGAATGAAATTTCACAGGAAATCCATTGGAGGTATCAAAAGTGAGTTTTGGGATCGTTTGGAATAAGAAACGAGGCAGAACAACCGGCGATCACACAACTATCTGGACAAAAACTTTCATGTACATCCAAGGTCAAAGAATGGAATTACAAGCTTGGACACCCAACTTCAATCCGAATGAGGATTATCCAATTGTCCCCGTTTCGATAGTTATTCCTAAACTACCATGGCATTTCTACTACATGGAGGTTCTATCTGTACTGTTGTCACCTATTGGTAAGTTATTACATCTCGACCTAGACTCAATGCAGAAAATAAGAGAAAATATAGCAAAAGTCAAGATACAGGTTGACTTTGACTCAATTCAGGACTCATCACGTTTGGTTGGGCTTTAATGAAGATCAGGATATTAATGGAGATGGACAATGGCTGAAAATGGTATATGAGGATCTCCCAAAATACTGCTCACACTGTAAGCACTTAGGTCATGAAGAATACTCCTGCCCATGTTAGAGAAAGAGAAGAAGAAGAAGAGAAGAAAAAAGTAGTTGCTGAAACTCCACAAATTCAGACTAAACAGATATCAAACAATACTGAAAGAGCAAATAGAATACAATATCAAAAGGAACAGATCATACAGGGGCAGCACAAGGAACATAACTCCGACGAAAAAGTAGTGGTACAAGGCCAAAATGAAGAACAACATGGCATAATCAAACTTACATCACAACAACCAATAAATGCAAACCACTCCAAGGATCAATGGTAACCTCAGAAGATGAAGAACTTCAAGGGTATTAACC